TAGTTAAAATGTTATGTTCTAGGTCATTGTCCTAAAGAATAAAATTGAGCATTGATCTTATGCTTTTGTCGATGTACATTTTAGCTTTGAAATTAAAAATTCATAAGTATTAGTTCTTTAATTTGTCATAAGATGTAACAATTGGTCAAAAGTTCAAAAACTAATACTCCAAAATTTTATTGTCTTAAAAAATACTGATACCACATATTAATACTTGTAATATGATTTGCTGTATCAAAGTGATACTATATAACAAACTCATAGTCTAATACTACATACCTTTTCTTTTATTCCAAGAGGTCTCAAGTTATGGTCTCTCAAATAATTAAAATAGTAAATATTATATAGATATGCTAAATTAAATTGACCGGTTAAAAAAGTTGTTAAAGCCAAATGTTAGCTAAATTAACAAAATTTTACCTAATGTTCTTGTAGATGCTCTTTTACATTATGAACTATCTGAGCGGCGGGTTTATTTTACCCAACATTTAAGTAGGACGGGAAAGGTTTTTCTTGAATATGAATATGAGAATTATTTTTGTTTTTCTAAAAGGGGAAAAATTGGTGGCAAGTCACGGTTATTCACATGTTCCGACTTCGAAGAGGCTACAGGGAATTTCACCATGTCCGTAATATAAAATTGATACAATTGCTCACACTATTTAATACGAAAGAATCATACCTTATGTATGTGGTTATCGCGTGTATTAATAAATTTTGTGGCGATTTGTGTGGCAATCGACGGTAAAAAAATGTAAATATTTACACAGAAATAAAAATAAAAATGTTTACACACAGTTTGTAGGTAGTATATTGACAATCATGTTTCTGCCTAACGACAAGCCACATTAGGCTTCCTTCTAAACGCCAAGTGGATATATCATATATTAGTGTAATACGATCAAGTTTTTATATCATATTTATTTAATTATATAAGATGGTTTTATGATTGAATTATTACTTAAATATTAATTAACGTATTTACTTTCTAATATCATATAATTTACAAATTCAATTTAAAAATTTAGTCATCTGCTATTACGAATGTATTATCAAATGTGTCAAATCATTGGCGCGTGAGGGGTTGCACGGTGGGGCAGTGCCTACGATGTGGTGGCGTCTTCTGATTAGCTGTTGCTTCGGTGATGCATTTGGAGGAGCATGGAGTAATATTCCAGTAAGATAAACGGATCAGATGCTTACGAGTTCGGTTGTTCATTCTAAATTTCGCGAATTACGATGTCATCGCTTTCATGCCTGTGGATAAGCTGCGTGCCCGTATCAAATTTGGCAACCTTCGTGTTAGCTCCACCCCAACCTGAGACACGCGTCATATGCTCAAAGTTCTCTTCCCTCGTATTATCATCTCATTCCATTCATTTCTCTCCACTTTTTTTTGTTGTTTTATTCTCTATATAAAAATTCAAAATAAGATGTAAATATTGCGTAACCGTAACTGTTTAAATAGAAGTTGATAAAAGGAACATAATCATATTTCAAGTTTATAGGGTGGCTATCGAAAAGTATATGGGCCCCCATTTCATAACACATCGTGGACCTAGATTTTTGTCAATGGACCCATGACACACCATATAATTGTCCTTCCATTAATATTCAAGTTTGTAATTTTCTTGCTAAACTCATTGTGAAGAGTTTATTTTCTTTTCCTTCGTTTGTTTACAAAAAAAAAAAAAAAAAGAGTTTATTGTCATTTAGTATTACGGTCTAGTGATATTCTTCTTTACTTGTAAGTGAGAGATCTTAGGTTTGATTTTCATCAAAGATAGATTTAAGTTATATTATTGCTGAACCATTGTAAGACCTGAAATTATCGATTTTTGTCAATATAAATTTCGATATGAATTTTGTCAAAGTTTCTTTAGTTTGTTTAACTTGGTGTCAATGTGCGCTTAAAGTCAAGGCATATTATATTATTTAGTACCTAGTCTCACTAAATATTATAAAAAGATATTGCAAGCTCAAAACTATCGTATATCGCTACGATTTTGTTTGATAACCATTTCAGTTCAGTTTCGGTTTATACTAGTGAAAGTGTTCCCGCGCGATGCTGTGGGTTTTAAAACCATATAAAACATATAGAAAGTTATAAATGTATATACGATAGGCAATACTATTTACATCCATTTGAAAATCTTACAACCCTATTTACAAAAAGGAACAAAATAAGAAATAATTTTGGCAATACTATTTATATAAGGTGACTTCATATTATGCAAAATTTGTGCATACCCATTTTAAGAATAACATATGTGATTCTTCAATGTACACATAATTAAACTGTTACCTCATTCTTCAACACTATCAATCTGTTTTTGCTTGGCTTACCCTCTCAATAACAAATCCCTCCTACTGAACACAAACACACACAACCAACTATAGCTTCATTAAACTGGTTCTACAACGTTTGAATTTATGGTACACAATTTTGTGATTAGATGGGTCAAGCAAAACCGTATGCTTTTCATGGTTATCTAGGTTCAAGTGTATCCCTAATCTATACACTACCTATGAAATCTTTGTAATTCATAGTGAACATGTTCTACTTAGGATCAACGGTGTTGGAGAATCATCCCACTGCACATACACAACCCCACGAAAATCGAAAAATACTTGGAATGAAGGCATGAAAAATTTAGATTTATTTCTAGCTTTTGAATTAAATAAAATAAAGCAAAAATCAAGCAACAAAATAAGCAAAAATGTGCACAAGAAAAAAAAAGGAAGTGTGTGGAAATCATTTTCATTTGAGTAAAATGAAGAAATTACATGAATTGGGCCTGGGAATTCCGTTCGAAAATGTCAAAAAATCATGCAGAATTAAGGGCCTTCTTGATTGGGATGAGCAGAGTGGAAGAAATAGGCACATTGGGATGTATTTGTAGATCAAGACCTGGTGTTATAGCTCCATCCATTGAGATGGAGTGAAAGGTCTTCTGCCTCCTGCTATACTCCATTGCATGGCAGCAACTCCATTACTCAACTCCCACTATTATGCCCTGAAACACAACCAAAAATCAGAAAACCGAAAAAAAAATAAAAAATATATTTGAAGTTGAATTTTTTTTTAAAGAAAATTAAGCAATTCAGAGCCATTGAAATTGGCCAAAAAACGGGAGAATTGAACTTCTACACCTATAGTGAATATATTATGTGAACGTGGTTTTTGCTCTCTTTCTCTCAACATCACGATTATGAAACCTTCGACATACTCAAGAAAATTTTTCTAAAGCCCAATTACATTAAATCACAAATTCAAAACATTATTTTAACATGCAATTATCGAAACATAAATACATAACTGTAAATAAATCTTCACATTTTTGGATGAGGAGCAGAAAGGAGGAGATGTGCGACCACCATGAAGCTCCATAAGGTTTTCTAGTCGACCAGGAAGGAAGAAATCACGGATCATATGATTTTTTGTTCAATTTTCATAGGCTATATAAATTGTTCGAATAGATAATTCGGGTCTTTTAACAAATATTTAACAGATAGAACTCAAAAATTTTAAGAACGAAAACAAAAGGTTCGAAATTTACTCAAACCCAACAATAACAGACGAAATTAAAATTAATTAGAGCAATGGTGGTACAAATTCGAAATTCCAAAAACCAAAATTATAGGCAAAATATCAGAATTTATAATAAAAAGAACTCACCAAAATCGAATCGAATGGAGAGAATGAACCATCAGGATATGAGGAATGAGGCAAGGCAGAGGCTACTATGAGTGAGTTTTGGATTGTGGATTTCAGATTTCTCATTTGGGGGAAAGGATGAGGATTCTAGGTTGGGGAAAGCAAGGAGCATGGAGAAAAAAGAGGATGCCCAAAAAAGCAAAACGATTTCTAGGGTTTGATGGAGTCTGCAACCAGTTGGACTTGCTAGACTGTTTTATCATTGTGTTGTCGAAGAGAAAGAACGACACTTAAGAACTCAGCATAAAGAATGGCAACCTTGTAATAACACAAACTAAGCAAGCGTAAAATCGGAATGACACTGTGCTTATGAACAATGTTTAAGTTGATTTTCAGTTTTAGTATATATTGAATTTTTATTTTTTGAAATCTAAAAATAATTTTTTTTATAACTATTTTCAGTTTTTATAAAATGAAAACTAAAATCAACTCAAGGATAAATTTTAGAAACCCAAAAAGTAGGTTTCAATTTTTATTTTAAAAATTTAAAATTGAAATCTAAACTACATATTAATAGAATTCTAGTTGTCAACCAAAACTTTAAGAAATTATTATTTTAACCCTCTAATTAAAACTGAACATAAATAAAAATTATTAGCAATTTAGTAATTACAAAAACATAAATTTTACTTTTTTTTAAAGCATCACCCACATATAATTTTAATATCAGCAAAAATAAAAAAATGTTCACACACACTGTCTATGTGGGCATATGCTAGTAGGTATAGTTTTTAGTATTTTAAAAAGTTAAAAAAAAATGACAATGAAATAGTTATCACTTATCAAATGGTTTATCCAAACTACCTATTAATAGAGCCTCCTCTTCTCATCCCAACTCCCACTCTCACTCCCACTCCCACTCCAACGTTCTCTCTCTCTCATTCCCATTTTAAAAATAAAAATAAAAGAGGTGTGCTATTAAGGATGTGTAGATAGCATACACCAAATAAAAATTGTTCATACACTGTGTAGACATATGCTAGCACAAAAGTGAATTCTACCAATTATTTAATTAAAAGAAATTGAAAAAAAGGTACGATTAGCTAGTGTTTAGAGCGCTTAAATCAAGCCATTTAGTAGTACGGTCTAGTGATATTCGTTTTCATTTGTAAGTAAGAGGTTTTAGGTTTGATTTTCGTCAGAGGCAAATTCGAACCACATTATTGTTAGCTAATTGAAATGTTAAGCCCACTCTTGATCTCTTAACGTAAATAATATCCTTTGCTAAAAAAAAAAAAAAAAAAGCGCGCTTTAAAATTTTAAATAATCACTTCCAAAATCCCTCGAACTTCTGCCGCGCAAAACCGAAACAAGACCCCACTGTTGAGTCCACAGCAAGCTTCCGCTCAACCGCTCTCCACCACCACCATCAATATCTCCGGCGACACAGAAACCAAATTTAAATTGAGAATTTCCGACAAACCAAACCAGCCATGAACACCACCGCAACCATATCCACCAGGGAACAACAATCACCACCCCCACTATCGGACACCGATATCATCCGAGTAGCCCAGTCCTGCTCCCCAATCCCCACCTACCTTCTCTCCACAGCGTCCCACCCAACCCTCCTCTCTTACCTCACAGCCCGCGCTCAATCCACTTCGCCGTCGAGGCCAGTCTCCGACTACACCGTCTCTCTCCTCTCCCTCATCGCTCTGTCTCCCCAATTCGATTCTCTCTCTACCCTCCTCTCCTCTCTCCTCCGATCCTACACCCAAATCTTCACCTCCTTCGGAATCCCACACGACGCCAACTCCCTCAAAACCATCCAATTCTTCCACCCCCTCTTGCCCCACGTACCCATCACCAATCTTCCCCAAATAGTCGAACCCATTGTGTCATTTTTGCCCCAAATCGTCGATTTGGAGGATGCCCAAATCCTTGACCTTCTTCCCCGGTGCTTGAACTTGATTCGCAACGCTGAGGAGATTGAACGCGGCGGGCATTTTGTCAATTCGGTGATTGATAAGATTCTGGAGGTTAATTGGTCAAAAGGGTTGGTGATCAAGATGGTTTCGATTGTCAGGGACTTTCCGGTTCTAGATAAAACGAGGGCTAGGGAGTTTGTAGACAAGGTGTTTGTGGGAATGTCAAGGTTAGACTTGCAGGACTTGCCGTCGATTGTGTACCAGCTGCTGGTTTTGGCGTCTAAAGGGTTTGTTAAGAGAGAGGTAGTTGAAGGGATTGTGATGTTTTTCGGGTCGAAAATGGCGTCAAAGGCAACCTCTATTGTTAGACAGGTTGAAGGGACTGTGTTGCTTCATGTGAACTTTGCAGTAAAGCAGGATCCTACACTAGGACAAGAGGTGATGGGACTTGTGAGGTCGGATCTTAGAGCTTTCAATCACTTTACAGTTGCTGTTTTGTTGTCGGTTTCGAGGGTTCGGAAGTTTGGTGAGAGCTCGATGGGGGCTTTGAAAGTTGCGCTGCTTACCGCGTACCGTGATTACAAGTTTGCTAAGTAAGGGTTGAGTGTCTTCTCAGTTCTGTTTAATTTTCATTCATGTTCATCACAATATGTATGTAGGTCCCTTTTGTATAGATAATTTTGTTTGATAATTTTGTTTTGGGATGTTCTCAATATTTAGGTAATTATTTGCAAACTCTTTTGTTTTGTTCTTTTTTGCGGGACATAAATCGTGAACTCTTTCTTATCTTGCAGAGATTGTAAGTGGATACCTAATGACATGAAGGAAGAACATCTGCAGAATGTCAAAATAGTGGAAAAGGCCATATTAAGAGCTGTAATTGCCTTTCAGTCTGTTATCTTCTATATGTGCACATATGTTCTTTCAAATTTAAGTATAGTTACCCTGATTTATAATAGTTATGCTGTATTCGTTTGTATTCGTTCTTTCGTTGAAATTTAGGTTAATGAGAGCAACTGTGGAAGAGAACATATTGTGCCGAGCATTTTGCAGCTTGCGTTTTTATTGCTAGAGTCAGCGGATGAGGGAAGTCGTCAAGAGGCTTGCAATCTAAGTGGTTTGTTAGGCATTGAGGAGCTTGCTGTTCAGATGCTGAGAACTCTATTTGAGGCCCATGACATGGCAAGGAATGAGGTCAGTCCAACTGTTTGAATACGGAATCACATTACTAGTTCAATATGCTCATCATAAGTTTGCAGTTGGGCAGCGGGAAAGAAGAAAATACTTGTATGGAATTTTATTTATGGAGGCATGTATTCAATTTTTAAATTACTTGGCCCTTATGTATTGTATAGCTTTGTAGCACCCACGACACATTCATTGTAGGATTTAAATGGGTTTAAGGCTTTAAGCATGTCAGTGTATGGAATGGATTTGAAAAGGTATTCATTAAATGAAATCAATTTAATAAAGATGATTGCATGTAATTGGAAGGTAGAGAAAATCATGCTAACCAGTTCATCTCACCAGCTAACCTTCAATTGTTTTCAATGTTTATAGATTATCGAGCAGTGTAAATTTCGCATCCTTTCTTTAAAGCCAGAGCAGAGCATGGCAATCATAAGGTAATTCCATTCACCTGCTTAACATTGATTGTAATACTGTGTTTCTGGTTAAGGTTTAATTATCTTTTATGTGCAGACTGCTTGGTAGTCTGGTTCAAATTTATCCATACCCCATGCTAGAACATGTTTCCCGTCTGAAGGAATTGTTGGATTATTTTGCTTTCATGCATGGCAAGGTTGCTGCTCATCTTGTTTCTGTTTTATTACCTCTCTTGAAGTTCAGCCGCGATCTTCAGGTAACTACTGTTCCATTTTTCTAATAAATCAAAATGGCATATTTATACTTGTGAATTGTGATACTATGCCCTTAAGCTCTATTGTAAGCTTCTGCTTTTTACAATTACATTGAAATGAACAGAATCCATAGTTTTTACATTGTCAAGTTCTATCAACGGTATGTCTATGGGCGTCTGTTGGATTTTTAGTCAGATGACGTATGACAATGTGGAAAGAGATTTTCAATTGCAGACTATGATGTGTTGCATACAAAGTATTAAAAAAGTGAGAAATGTTGTTGCAGTTGTTCACAAACAAAGTATATTTGTTTAATTAAATACAGAATTACACAATTTTGGTAATGCGTAAGGCGATGTTTAGACGAGAAGATGCGATTCGTCTTGCAGCAACTGGTGCTGTCATTGACCTAATTCTAGCAGAAAAGCAATCCAAGAGAGATGACACATTACTATTTCAAGAGTCATCTAGCCAAGCCAGTAGCAGCCAGCAATCTGAGATGCGCTACAGTGTGGGGGGATGCCTTTTTCAAGAGCTTAGTGGTTTGCTACAGAGATGTCTTTATCAGCAGGTTTTGCATTTGTCTTGTTAATGATATTCTGTTTTTATTTGACGAATGTCTGAATATAATTGGGTCACTGGTTTTAGGCAAATGTCAAAGAAGTCATGTATCATGGACTTATGAAGCTTGTGTTGGTGGACCCGTCAAGTGGTGGAGCTGTCTTTGATTTTCTGTTACCTCACTTCCTCCACTTCTATAAGGAGGTAAATGCGGATGCTTGTGATAGCTTGTTTTGTGAAGCTTTATGCTTTTTCTGAATTCCAAGTTTTGATCCATTATCTGGCAAAACTTATGGTTTATCATGTCAAATTTTATGGAAAGAAACTAAAACAGTGCTGATTTTTCATATGGCATGTAGTTGATACAATTAATATAAATTCCATACTTAAGATTGAAGCACTATCTTGGCAGGATGAAGACGTTCACCTACGAATCAACTGCTGTGTTAAATCAGAGAGTGGCAAGGTTTATATAGAAGAGCCCTTAGATTGTCTTCTGTCTTGTATCTCTTGGATGCTACTTCTACAACCGCATGGTAAAACTGAGCACTTGGAAAATTCATGGGCATGTTTGGGTTTCTCCCTTTCACAAGAAAACGAGGTCTCTCATTTCTAGTTAACAAAATTCATTAAAACTATAGTTTACATCTGATTTCTTGTTTCTTTTTGTACCATATGTTTTCTTTTTTAGATTTAAAAATAGAATTTGAATCTTACATTGGCAAATATGAAACCACTGACAGGGAGGAAGAAATTTGTCAGGTGATTCGTTCTATACTGCTTTCTTGAAGATACGGAAGTCGTTAAGAAATCAGAGTTTGGAAGGTTTGCATTAAGACTTTATTAACCTATGCCATATCTTTTCTCCCTTGGTTCCTCTTGAGGTTGTGTGAAGCATCATTGGTATATCCTTTTTCAAATTTGTTGTATGATACTTTCAAATGTTTTGATTCTTTTGAACCTTTTGTTTTTGGGGAATTCACACTTGCTGAAAGATTAAGCATTAAGCAACAAATAGTGTATTGTTGTTTGTCAGAGACAGTCTGTACTTTTTGAGTCAGATTGGAAACTATTGATGTTATACTTGTCATTCTTATTTTAAGACAGACCATTCTTAACGGTTATATTCTTTATGTATCAGGCATCTTTGGTCAATCTCAGGATTCCGGTTCTTCATCTTTTGAAGAGGACAAAAGAAAATGCTGCGCATTTGTTTTATCAGGAATTATTGAAGTAGTCTTGAATGCTATTGCTACTGAGTTGGAGAAATCAACAGACAGAAAGAAGTTGGATTTGGAAAAGGAGCTTATTGAGTTTGTTGACCTTCATGATTCATTGGATAAGGATGCAGGTATCTCCAAGCAGAGTACAACTATCAGAAGAGGGAATCCTCGCACTACTGCTCACGATATGACCAACAACACGGATTCAGGCCAATCAAAAGTGACACAAGGACGATTATCTTTCTTTGCAACTTCAAGTATATATCAGATCTTGCAAACAGTATTGAAACTACTCAATACTGATAATTCTGATAATGTTGCGACTTCCCAAAACCATAGCCAGTTGACTAGCAAAACAACAAAATGCTCTGCTAAGATGATTTGTTTTGTGTTGAATGCATCCCTCAATCATATAAAATCTTCCTCTGTTCTGCGAAATGAAGATCCATTGAGAACTTTGATCTATGGGGAACTTAAGATGCTAGGACCCCCCTTGCTGAAGTTGATCATTTTGCTCAAATCGGGGCCAAAGATGTCAGATCAAAAGAAAAAGGAAGCTAAAGGAAAGAAAGATGTTCATGGACAAAGGGACCATCTTCATCTAGCCTTGATTTGCTTGAAGGAGTTGATAATGATTTGTTCATCAACTTCACACTTGACTGGTTTGCTTGAGGATATGGTGTCAATCTCCACTCTTCAGCATGCTGATTCAAATAATGAAAGTGAAACAATCTTGATAATTGACGATCAACATTTACGAAGCAAAGAACTGTTCATTGTCAAAACCTTGAAGCCTCTATTTTCTGAGCTTCTGGCACTTTCATTCTTCAGTGAAGTTGAGGTAACCGGCATCTGTGACTGCTGATTTGTACCCACTTTTTTTTTTTCCTTGTAGAATGCATTTATCTATTTCTCAAAAGAGCTCTTTCTCTTTCAGATCATCTCTGACATGATAATGATCATCGGGTGCAAATTGCCATGTGAACTGAGTAACTCCCATGGAGCTTGGGCTGTTAGTGTTTGCAAGAGCAATGAAATATTAAGCTCCAAGGTCGGAAAAAGCATTGTGAGGCTTGCTATATGTTTAAGCTCCCCACCAGATGATTTAATTATATCTCAAGATCTGGCTAGAGAGCTGTTACAAGTTATTGGATCAGAGGGAAATGAACCTGTGAAGGTGTCTGAAGCGTACCCGGTCATAAACCATCTGACAAGCGCCGTATTAAATTCTTGTGTACTGCACACAATTGAAGAAGTTATAGCTGATATGGATTGGGCCACCAAAAAGTTGAAGACATTCTCTTTAGTCTATCAAAAAATGGTTCATTTCAGTCAGAACAACGAGCAATCTTCTGAGTTGGCATTTGAGGAAAATCTTTACCCTAGGGCGGGAGCAGTGGTGAAAGTACTATCATCCTTTGTTTCAATGAACCTCAATGGTACATGTGCAGTTTCTACAAAGAAATGAATCCATCCTACTTGTTGCCACTCCTGTTTATTCGTTTTGCTTTCAACCTCTGCAGATACTCAAGCTGAGATATTGCTGCGATTGGCTGCGAGGTTTTACAAGCATTTAGCTCAGATGTCAAAGCTTAGGATTGCTCCTAAAGGTTGCAAACAGATCTTTCCTAGCCTCAAGTTTCAGAAGCTTGTGGAAGTAACCTGTAAACAGCTGACGAACCCGTTGTATGTCTTTGTGGACATTATGCAAAAGGTATGATTCCGATTCTCTGCCCTTTCTTCCCATGATTTCACTTGCACCATCGACTGTTTGCTGTCAGTTGTAAAGGTTTAGGGTGGGGTTTATGGTTCAACTGATGCCGCGGTTCCATTTCATTGATACTTGCATCGCAGAAACAACAAGAAAATGCTAACAAAAAGGGGATCATCAACAAAATAAAGAGGGAGAACAGATGCATCCCAGACCTGATATATCAGATAGAAGACTACGAAAAGTATCTCATCCAGCTTAGCAAGGTGTGCAAAGTGAATCTATTAAAGCACGCCAAGCGAAGCACTGCACGCGATTTCAGAATATTCCCGAAAGAGAATGCCACTCCAAGTGATGAAGCAAACCATGCCAACTCCAATGCAGTTGAAAACGAGTCAGCTGAGGATCTCAATGCCAATGACAACGAAGGCGACGATGACGACAGGTTGGAGAAGATTTTATCAGCAGAATCGAATAGTCCTATGGTTGCAGAGGATTCTGGCTCGGAGAATGAAGAAGTGGATGGCCTTCCTAGTCCAAAGAGGTTGAAGAGAAACAACAGAGTTGTGGAGGACTCTGATGATGAAGCCTAATACAAAATGCACCCGACTGATATATATATATATACACACACACTCCACACACACTATATATAATATATATGAGGGAAATTTTGATATTTCTAAGTTGGCCATCTTTCTATTTTCATAGAATTTTATAGCAAACGTTATCCATCACGAATTTACAATGAGTATTAGGATAAGTAAACCCTAACGGGTAGGTTTATGGAAAGCGAGCAAAGAGTTGAGCCCCCAATTTGAGTTCAACTCTCATGGATATAATCTTTGGGACCGCTGTCTTTGCTTTGGTGGACCATTTGATCCAGGAATCAAAAATATACTACTGCTTTATGCACTACCGAGGCTACATTTAAAAAAAGAGAAGGATTAAGTCCATAAAATCTCTTTTACAGTCTTTTTAAGTGATTGTGAGTACTAATGGTCGATAAATGAGACTGAATTTTAAAATCACATCCTCACGGTTTTGTTTATGAGAATTCAGATAAGAACTTCTCAGTAGGTCACCCATCCTGGGAATGCTTTCACCCAAACTCGCTTAATTTCGAAGTTTCGATGAAATCCGAAGCCAGTGAGTTCCCAAAAAGCCTCATCCTAGGTAGAGATAAGAATATACATATAAAGCTAACTTCTCTGGGCGATATGAGATGTTACAATCCACCCCAAAAGAGTCAAACGACACCGTCACGATTCATTTAGAATATTTACCTCACCATGGAAGTCATTTATTTTCAGGTATTCAATAAGAATTTTAAAAGAGTTTATTAAAATTAATTTAAAAAAAATAGTAATATTTAAGTTTTGGTTAAAATATAATTTAAAAGATTTAAAAAACTAAAGAATTTGAAAGAATTAAAGAAGTTTCGTAATTGATTTTAAGAATTCACAAATTTTATGTCTCTCTTTAAAATTTAAGAAGTTCATTCAAAATTTTACATAAATTAACTATAAATCAATTAAATTCTATCAATTTCTATAAATTTATAAATCTATTAAACTCTTTCAAAATTCAAATTAAATACAACCTCCGAAATGAGGTGATTACCTAACTCCCGCAAGTCCCCGTACGCGGTAAAAATACCGAAATCAAACCGCAGTAAATAAAAATATCTTCCGAAATGGAAAAGAAAACAATCATAACACACATTTTTCACTCGTCGCAGTCACACCCAGAGACTCAGAGAGAGAGAGAGAGAGAGAGAGAGAGAGAGAGAGAGAGAGAGCAGAGAGAAGGGTGGATGTGGAGGGCGTTGTTCTTCTTCTCTGAGCAGAAAAGAACAAGTTTCATCCTGCTTTTCCAGGCAAAGCTCTGATTTGATACCAAATCGGAACCAAACACACTCGCTTTTGCAAGCGAAGCAGAGGCGAAAACCACAAAAGTATGAGCGAAGACGCGAAGAGAAGCGTCGCCGGAGCTCTGTCGGCGAAACCCATTTCTGACGACCGGAAACCCTCCTCGGCTGTCACCACTCCCGCCGGCAAGCGCGTCATCATCAAGAGCGCCGACATGTTTCAGGATATGCAGAAGGAGGCCGTCGACATCGCCATCGGGGTTAGCTCTCTCTCTCCTCTCTCTCTCTTACTTTGTTTTGCTATTTTTCTTGCTGTATTGGTGCTTGGATTGAATTCGGAAAGTGATTTGTTGGGGATGGAAAATTGAATTTCTGTGTTTTGTTCTGTTTAGGCATTTGAGAAGCACAGCGTGGAGAAGGACGTTGCGGAGTATATAAAGAAGGAGTTCGATAAGAAGCATGGACCCACTTGGCATTGCATCGTCGGTCGTAATTTTGGTAACCCATTCAATTTCTCTCCTTTTCTTTTCTGGGTTTTGTTCAGATTTAATAGTTGAATGCATTTGGAGTGACATCGAAGAAAATGTAATTCATTGTTTAGTGATTTTTGTTGTTATTGGGTTTTATTTGTAGTTTAATGAGGATGGGTTGTGTTGTTTGAAGTGGAATAGATCTAAGCTTAAATGGATTCCTGTGTTCTAAATGGTTATCAGCTGGATATTGCAAAAAGTACCGGAATTTATGGTTCTAAATGATTAACAAATTCTAAATTAGAATGGCTGAAAAAACTTTGATCATATAGGTCTGATGTTATCGTAGCCAACTGTACATGTTGCTTTATTTGTGGACATGAAGTAGTGTTTAACTCAATAGGAGAAACCGGGATGCCGAATGACTATTCTCCAACAGATCCTGATTTTGGAAGGACCTCTGTTAGTGGTATTTCCTCAACCTCCTTTTGTTGAGTGGTCGATATTCACTTATGGTTGAATGGTGGAAAGAGATTTTTAAGTGATTGAAAGTTGGGGATTCAATCTTGTATATATTCACTCTGCAATAAAAGTCATGTTTGCCAACAAGTGAAATTAAGTTGTTGGCTTGTCTTACACACTGACTGTACCAAATTTTATAAGTTTGAGGTGCCTAATAGGCTGTGTCTAGACTCTAAATCAATGTCTTATCAATACCTTTGGAGGGAGGCTGCAGAATTGAATATGCTTGCTGTTTGGCTTCTTTATGCTGTGTGACAACATGTATTCCTAAATGCTTAGCTGGTTATTTAGAGGAGAGAGATTTTAGGTGATTAGTTTAGAAAAAGTTTAGGTGAGATGTTCAAGTAATTCACCGACTGCAGCTCTTGAGCTGAAAAAGTTTATTGATAGCCCATCCATTTGAAAGAGGTTGTGCTAGTGATGTATTACCATGCAAGAGGCAGCCCGTTGAGGTGTTGATTTATGTGCACCAAAAGTGAATGTCTTATAAGTCTGTTATGTTGTTGGTTCACTTCTGCATATGGAAAAAATATTTGGTTCTTTTTTCATTGTTACGTGCCACCGTTACATTTTTCACATGCAATGTTTTGACATTGGTGTAAAATTAGATATCACTCCCTGGTTTAATAAAGTTCCTATATTTCCTGTTTTGTATAAGTATTAGTTTGCGCCATTTCTAACTGTAGGTAACAGTTGGTGGGATTGCCACGGATAATCAGAGCAACATTTTCTTTAGTTTCTATTCAACCATCTTGCTAGCTTAACATCATTGTAGTAAAAACATGAAGCCACCTAGGTTGAACAGTTCATAACTGTCCTGTGCGTCTCCTATCGTGTTTTCCACAAGCACCCTTTTGGTTTATTATGAACCTCACCAGCACTGGCATTGCTGCTTCAGAGTTAATAGTTCAGATCGCTCACACTCATATTTGGTTGTTGGGTCTAAACTAGCTGTGAGTCTGCCACCAGTTTACATTGTATTCTTGACAGATGTATGCAATAGCCAATATAGCAGGCAAAGGCTCGTGCTTGATGCCTTTGGTGATCTTTGATATGGCATCCAGCTAGATGAAACCAGGACTACTAAGGGCAATTGCTGCTAATTTTGTTTCTCGGTCTATTCATAATGCAACAATTGAAGTTGTGTTTAGAATTTTGGATTTTCGAAACCCTTATTGTTTTCCTTGATCTAGCTAATCTTGAAATTGTTCGTTATATAACATGTGGAACTACAAACAATTCCATCAAATAAGAAGCTTTCACAAATATATTTTCGCGTTTATCCTTTGTGCAGGTTCGTATGTGACTCATGAAACAAACCACTTTGTCTACTTCTACTTGGATCAGAAAGCAGTTTTGCTATTTAAGTCTGGTTGAACACGGTTATGGTGATGACAAAGATGGTGACGAAAAGAATGACGACGAGCCTGAAATTGTGATGCCATAAGTTGCACGTGTATGTATTAAACTGAAATCTGCTAGCTTGCCAACCAGTTGCTTAAAATTCTTGCACTTAACTTGTATATCTAATATTACTTCTACAGGCTGTGAACCTCGGGTATGAATTTCAGTTTTTCAATTTAATTGTCTCTAACTCGGCTTTAAGCTCTTTCATTTTTCTTTGTTTGGTGAAGTGAAAAATTTCAACTTATTTGGGTATTCTGATTTCCCATTTGCCCATGGAAACGGAACACATTGCATAAAATGCCGGAAAAGTGCGGTTTCATTCTAAAATGCCGGAAAAGTGTTGTTCCATTCTAGAATAGGCCGGCGACATAGTATAGACCGAGATTCATGGCAGCTGGATTTTTAGCCAAGGATCCAAGACGATCATGGATTCCGGTTCATACTCGGTAAAGCATAAAGAATGTGCAGAATCTCTGTTATTGGTTTGCTAATGAATGTATTCGGCAATCAGTTTGTTCTTTCACGTAATCAATTAACTGAAGCATCCTCCTTTGAAATCGACCAACAAAGCAGGAAGGGTATTTTGAAAAGCCATGATGATTTGCAATGTCTCTTCTGAGTGGTGGTGATCGTTGCACACAGAGGGGAATGCCATAAACAGTTATGATAATTTTCTACTATTGTTCACTGAACTGTGGCCTAATTGGAGCATTGATCTTTGAACAAAAAAATCGTGATTATTTGTTTCTGAATTGGTAAGTGAAATTAGGAAATTCTAACAGAGTTACCTCAAAAAGACTATAATACTCTCAAATTTTTAGTTTGACGACCAAAGCTCCAATTCAACCAAAGTTTAAAAACGTATGATGTACAATTCATGTGATGGATATTTATGAATAATATATCTTAATTTAGTGGTGTAGAAAGGTAGGGTGTCAAAATAGGCCTAAAATATGATTTCTCTTTAATAATTAAGAATATCCTGTTTGAGTAACAAGATTAGATAAAAAAATTAAAAAAAAAAACCTAGGATTCTAAATTTGAATCTTTGAATCTTTTGTAAGCTTTTATTTTAGGGAGATTTAACGAAAAACCCGCGGTACTGTTCATTTTAACGAAAAACTATATTTTTACACTAAAAAGTCAATCTTGGTACTATTCACTTTACCCTTTATTTTGTCTTTATCGTTAAAACTCAAAGTTTTCAAACCTTTTTCATTAGTTTTTCTTTTATTTTATTTATTTAATTTTTTTTTTCGTTTTCAAAATTTGGCTTTCACTTTTTTTATTTTCAAAATTTATTTTCATTTTGAAAATTGAAAGTAGTTATCAAATAAATATTTAATTTTCAAAGAGGAACTACGGTTGACATTCAAAAATCTAATTGTGCACTTCTCGTAAAAGTATTTTTTTTTCTTTGTATAGAAAGTTTGGAGTGCACAATTAGATGTTGTAGTGTCAATAAGAGTAGTTCCCTTCAAATAAATCAAAACTAAAAGCGAATTTGTTAACAACGGCCCTTTAATGCAAAGTTATGAAAATGAGAACTCACATGTAATGTAACGATATAAATTTGAGACACTGTCATCTTGACATATTGGTTGATTCTGTCATGTGAAAAGTGGTGGCTATG